ACAAGCAAAGATTCTCTGACTCTGATTAGGCACATGATCTAAAAATATGTATTCAATACTCAGTTGTTTCTCTCTTTCTTTTATATAAAAGCTCTTTGTTCCAACATTCTCCTTCAAAAAACCCACAGTTCAGTTTTTCCTAAGATCATTGTTTGGAAACTTTTTTTTTGGTTAAAACTCTGCAACTACTTAGAAGAAATGTCAAACAGATTTCCATGAAGGGAAAACGTACACATACATGTTTTATTTTAGAGGAGGATGGTGACCTCTGGATTCTGATTTACAAAGATGATGCTGATCTGTGGTTCAGAGAGGGGAAAGAAGAGTGTGACCCACCTTAGTGAACGCCTTAATGGCATGGGCAAGGAAAGCTTCCTCCACATCCACGGGAATTGTCTGCAGGTTCACTATGCAGTGCAACACGCAGAGAATAGTCTGGTGCTGTCCCTGTTTTTGTAGAAATCAAAATTTTAAAAATGTGTTCAAAAAATGCCTCAATAAATCGATTCAAAACTATCTTAGAGTCAAGAATTGGTTTGTGACCAAGTACTCGTAATGTCAAATGCCAAAATATCTAACAAAATATCTAAACATCAACAAATGTTTATTGTTATGTGTTAATATAATTTGAAAAGTTTTCAGGAGATAATATCAAAGCTGGCTAGCTATTGCACAAAGTAAAACTAAATTTGAAGATCAGTGCAATTTTAAACCACGTGTTTCTCTTGCCGTGAATTGAATAGATTTTCCCATTCTTGTTGTTTCTGGATATAATCATGTCAGTTGTCTAGTAGATGGCGACATGTCATAGAGATACATGGACTAACTAACTGGGCACTGAGTGGTCAGGATCTGGGTACCCAGCCACTGCAAATGATATGGAGGGAGGCGGGTAGACAAAGAAAAGGACAAGGGCAACCCCAGTCCCCCAGGAGCAATGCAGTGCTTAAGTGCTTAGCCTCCAACCTAAGGGGGTAAGATACTTAAAAATGAGCCCACTGACTTCACTCCTGGGGGCTGTTCACCTTAGCAAAGGAGAAATTCCATCACCTTCAGCAATACATATCCAAGATGTAATATACAGAGACCCACTAATTTCAATTCTGAAAACCTACAAGAGCATAATCTATAATAAAGAAACACCTGCAAGCACAAATTATCATTACAATGATGCCTATGAAAGTAAAAAACGTGAAGCAATATAAATGCCCTATACATGGGGTGAGGGTGAAATAGGATAAAACAGGCAGTCTTATGTGATAGAAAGCACACGGGCTTTGTGCCAGAGTGGTCTGAGCTTGAATTCTGCTCTGACATGTGGTGCCAACCTTGGGCATGCAGCCTCAGCTTTGTCTGTGAAACGGGCCTCTACCTCTAAGGAGTATTGAGATAAACAGAAGAGAAAATGCAAATTATGTCCTGAAGGGCTTGGCCCAGTCACCTACCAAACATTAATCTCCCTTCTCATCATCTCCTGTTTTATGTTTGTGATTTAATTGCTGAGAAAATATCGTAAGAAAAGGACTTCAGATACAGGAAAAATTATTTCTTAAAAGATGTGTATTGGGTAACTGTGGTGTGTGAGTGTCTGTGTGTGCAGGCACACACATGTCTGTGTATTGTGTATTGTATCTGTGTACATGTGTGTGAGTGCATGTATCTGTATGTCTGTGTGTGCATCCATCCATATGTGTCCGTGTGTGTGTGTGTCTGTGTAGTAACAGCAGAAGATTTTTAGTGAAATTTAGAAACTGAGGAGATGTTTACATGCAGCATAGTAGGTAACTCAAGGTTGGTTATTCGATAACATTGTTTCTTAAAACAAAAACAGGCCTGGTACGGTGGCTCACGCCTGGAATCTCAGCACTTTGGGAGGCCGAGGTGGGCGGATCACATGAGGTTGGGAGTTTGAGACCAGTCTGACCAACATGGAGAAATCCTGTCTACTAAAATTACAAAATTAGCCGGGCATGGTGGCGCATGCCTGTAATCCCAGCTACTCGGGAGGCTAGGCGGGAGAATCGCTTGAACCGAGGGGGCAGAGGTTGCGGTGAGCTGAGGTCGTGCCATTGCACTCCAGCCTGGGCAACAAGAGCGAAACTGTCTCAAAAAAAACCAAACCAAAACAAAAACAAAGCCTATTTTAAACTGAAAATTTAGTATCACTGTATGGATAAAAATGATAAATTGTATAAAAGGATTCATACAATTTCTCCTGTTTCCTAGATCCATTGTCTTCTAATATCTTTTCCTAAAGGTAATCACTATTACCAGTTTCTTATTTCTCCTTCTATATTTTATATATATATACATATTTTCTCCATTTTAAACATATATCTTTTATACATAAAATATAGAAAACATCTATATTTTACACATACAAATTACATATACATGTATGTGTGACACCTACCCTTTTTAAAAAATACGAATGAATGCATATCCCAACCTACTTCATAATTTTTCTCATATGCATGCTCACAGCAAATAAGTAGAAACAAACACCCAACAATGAAACAGTGGTTAATTATGGCACAGTCTCGTGTTACAGCATCATATCTGTTACAGTCAATATTTATGAAAAGCTTATGTTATTTGCGGGAAAACAGCTATAACTTTAAGCAAAAATGAAACAAACTTACATGTTAAAATGATTTTTAACAAGTTAATACACATATTGATAAGTTTAAAAGATTTGAAAATGTTTGCAGTGCCTCTCCCAGGACTACAGATAGTTCCCCTTTTTATTTTTTATTTTTGTATTTTCTAAGCGTTTACACTGGGTATCAGTTTCTTCTCTTCTCTTAGAAAAACTATTAAATTAGACTTAGATTTGGGGTTTTGTATGAATTCCCTTTTTTATAATGGATCTTTTTTTCTGCGTGAAAAACTAAGGGCCTCAGTTATAGTCATTAACTGGTCCTACAGCCACTTTACCTTCTCTAATAAAAAGAGTGCTTCTGCGGCATCTGCTCGCCTGTCAACCAACATGTCCACATCCTCTTTGGTGATTACAGGCTCCTTCAGTTGCTCCACCCAAGACCACATCAAGCTGCATAGGATGAAAGGGTCCCTCTCGCCACATATTCTTTCCCAAGCTCCATCTCGGGAATTAAGCTCTTTCTAAAAAGGAAGAGAAAGAGACAGACAAACAGAGACAGAGACAGGGAGAGGAGAGAGAGGTGCACCAGTTGACACTGCATGATTCTCGCACTGCCCACGAGAGTGAAAGACTCAGGCTCTAGGGTGCAGAACGGGGACCCCTCCCAGCCTCTCTACTTCCAGGCTGGACACTGGACTAAGACATTGAATTCTGTGAGCCTCAGTTTCTCTCTATGAAACTCATCCCTTGCCTCACAAGTTGTTGGGCTGACTGACTGAGATAAGGTCGGTTAAAGCTTATAGCACAGAGAAAGGGCTTAGTTAATCCAAGTTCTCTACTTTATTCAGAAACCACAGAAACAGTTCAGAAGAGCCTTCCTTTTCAGGCTTCTGGTGAACAAAACAGAACTATTTTTTGCAATAAAGTAGATGGTAGACAAAAAAGTAGAAATAAGGGAACATTTATACATTAACCTGGGGTCTAAGGAAAGGCTTTGACTGAGCTTCGAAGTCTGCAAAAATAAAATGAAGGTGCTTGAAAGTTGGTAAATGGGGCATATGTACTTCTTTGAAATATCTTTTTAGAATCCTATGTAGGATTTAACAATAAGCCTGAAATCTGACATAGGGAAAGTAACTGGAAAGTTTTTCTGATACTCCAATTGCTTAGAGAAAATTTAAGCATGAGATTTTAAAACTTTACCTCACAGAGAGCAAAGGAAAAGTGAGATAAGGATTTTAATGAATTTCTGATAGGGTTCAGATTTATGTTTCAGTAAGTCAAATACATTTTTACAATAGAAGTAAGTGTAATAATTGCTACCATTCACTCATTCATTCACCTATCCAATATTTACTACATGCACACAGTGGGACTGAAACTGTAATGCATGTCTTATCTCTAACTCTCAAATGGCACCCAGCAGGGAGCTTCCTCACCGGTAAATGCATTGGGGCTCAAGAAAGATGAAATAACTCACCTACGAGCCAAAAGCTAGAAAATGGCAAAGGGGGTGTTCATACCCAGTTCTGTCTTACTCCAGAGTCTGTGCTGTTTCTGTTACACCACAAGGGCCCTCTGGTACTGGGTTTGTTTTTATTATCTTATGAATACGCCAATACATTGTTATGCACAGTCCTTCCTATCCTATAGATCATGTATAAAACAAAGTAGCTCTTGATTCAATCTTATGAAGCAGACAAGCTGGGCAGAACTGACACTACTCAAAAACCCTCTTAGTAAAATGACTATCTTATCATGATGTTTCCTGAGGCTTTCCAGTGAGGTTAGCCAAGAATCCTGGGATAATGGAAAGTATTAAACACATGAGCTGTACCCTGACTCTGCCACATACACACCATGTGACCCTGAGCAAGTCACTTACCCTCTAACCTTCGTGACCTTTATCATCCTCATCTGTGACACTGAATTGATAAGATTAACAAAGACTGTAGAAATAGTATCATCTGCCTCACAGATATGTTCTATGATAACTGGGAAAAATTACATGAAATAATATATGTGAAATGGTCTAGTACAGGCATGGGTGGCATTATACTATTCAAATAATGTTCATTTTATTCTTTTCCAGAATTCAGCTGATTTTTTGATGACTAAAAGTCCTAAAATAAAATCTAGAAAGGAAAAAAACACAAAACTATCCTGATTAAAGGTCTGTGTTCACCTCCAGAAAATGCTTTCATATACTCTACGTACAGTCTGGCCCAAACCAAGTCCTGAACACTTCATCTCCACAGGCAGAGCTTGCACAGCCACTGGGGCTGACCCAGGAGTGAGGGTGCGAGATTTTCATCTAAAATAGAAGACTCTCTTGCTTGCTAACTCTTAACACACAGTAATGCCCAGGAAACATTTGCTGACTGAATGAAAGACTTTTTCAGTTTGGAGCAGAAAATAAAGAAAACACGTCATTTTGGAAGAAAGTAATACATTTAACTATTGGACAGGCAAAACACAATTCTGAAGAATAAAATTTTTACCAAAAGTTCTCTCCTCCCATTATATAGTTGTAAGTTAGTGTGAAGCTCCAAACTTAATTTTCATGCCTCTGCACCTGAAGAGATACTGGCACTCAGAAATTGTATATGCCTTGTTTAATCAATGGCAGACTATGAAAGCGAGCTATTAAAATAATTCACAGTAGGTTATGGTCTCAAAAGTCAAGATTTTGGTGATTCACGACAGTCTAAGTCAGCCTCCTTTTGGGGTAGTTTAGCTGTTTCTGATAGCTAGGTTTATAAGGCCTATCTTTTCTCGAGAACAGGTGCTCGCTCATTCAGGGCAAAGAAAGTATGGCTGACTTATGACTGTATCCTAGTAAAAGCACAACACAAAAAAGGGTTAAAAATTTACATTCTAATTGAAGTAAAAGCTAAGAAATGGACCCCAAAGACCTCATCTCAGCCAAAGTGAATGGCACGTAGGAATCTGTGGTTCCACCCACTTGCTCTCCTGATTTCCCATAGTTGCCCTATTAGAGCAGGATTGGCAAGTCTGAAGGAGGGGATGCCAAGTAGACAGCCTCACTTTTCTGACCTTGCTCAGCACTAGTGTTGATGAGCTTTGGAAAATAACTATTTTATTTATGTCTGTAGGTCAGTGGTTCTCAAAGTATGGTTCCCTCTGCCAGAGCTCAGGTTAAAGATGCTTCAAGTCAGTTTCAAATGCTGTCTGCTGTGGGCCAGTTGCCCCCATAGACCCAGGAAGAAAGAAAGAAGCTACTAATATCAATGCCTTGTGTGGGTCAAGCATCGTACCAAGTGCTTTCTTGCATATGCAGATTTAAATGAAACCACACAAACACCCTGTGTTTTTTCTAAAACATCAGGTTTGCATCAGAGATGAGAAACCTGAAGTTTGAAAGTTAAGTATGCAAATGTATCTTCACATTTCTATAATAAATAAGTTTGGGAAAATGTATTACACTTTTGCCCTGACATATTTCCAACATATCTATAATTAAATAAAGTACTAATAATACCTGCCACATTTCTACCTTCCTTTTTAGTTCCTCCTTTTCTACAGATTCGTTTAAATTTGCTAGAGCTTTGGCCGCCAGTATTCTTCTTGCCTCAGCACTCAATTCAGACTGTAATGCAGAGTGTGAAGCTGCTTCAGCCAGATCTTTACTGTCCTGGGTTTCATGTTCAACCAAGAACTGTGCTTTCGGACTGCAGCCACAGTCCAGAGGTCTTTGGGGTATCCTGCTGTTCTGCCTGACAGACCCAGGGCTCCCAACACCATGAGTTTTACACTGACAGTGAGACACTTGCTGGTGAGTAGGGTTTGGATCCTTATGGACATTTGCAAAGTTGGGTGAAACTGGTTCCCCAGGGCTGTGTGGGCCTGAAACATCTGCAGAGAAAGCTCTACTCTGCTGTGCTTCCTTTGGAATGATCCGTCCATGGAAAATTGGCGAGCCATTATCTTTGAGCCCTTCCAGCCCTCCAAACTTAGACTGACTCCAGAAAGAAAGTGTGCTGCGAACCAAGGCTTCCTTATGTAAGTCTGGTTCTGGAGACTGTGGGATGTAACAATGGCTTATGCGCTTCTGCTGCCTGGGGTTGTGGCCAACCAAGACCTGGACAGGCACTGTCTGTGGAGGCTCCCCTTCCTCCAGGAGGTTCTCGGCCCTCTTTAAATCTGAGTCACTGTAGCTGAGCCGCCTTTTCAGATGAGAAAGGGGTTGAAGGCACTCAACATTCCGCCTTTTCCAAAGAGGGTCAAACTCTTGCTCATTGGAGAAAATCATGCCTCGATTGTCAAAATCTGCTGCCACTGCAGTGGGGTTAGGTGGGTTGGACACATCACTGTCATTCCTCAGTAACTCTTTATCCAGCTGCATGGTGGCCATCTCAGACATGGTCTTTTCTATTTCAGCAGAGAGACCAGGTCCTTCGGACTCGTCCTTCATCATCACTGGCCTGTTTTCCGCTAAGTCCAGAAGCAATTTGCAAACTAGGTGGATAATTTTTGGCACATGTTTCAGAAGTCGTGCCTCATAACCATGAAGCAGATGACGCTGGCGAATTAGATATTGAGCTAAGGTGACAGCATGTGCTTTGGGATCACAGCAAGAGAATATATTGCGGAGAGGAGTTAGAAACTGAGTAAATTCCCTTACACAGAGGAGCTGTCCTCTGGTTTGTATGGAATTGGGTCGCTTTGCCCGCACAAATATAATTGCTTGGTCAGCAGTCATTCTTGTTGCAAAAACTAAGTAACAGGCTATTAAGACACCTAAACAGTGAAGAAGAGAAGACTGATATGAGAAAAGTTTACATTTTTATTTTATTTATCACTCTTTGATTATTTACAATTTGAAAATGCATTAAGAAATCAAATACATAGAGACACATTTTAAGGACAATTATGATGATAACTTTGTGACTTTTTGTAGAGGTGTTATTATTGCATGTTCCTTACTGCGCAGAACTTTATTAAATGTCTACGTGGCACCCCCTCCCCATGACTGAGTCATCTCAGTAGCCCAGAGCTGTGCCAGCACAAGCACAATGCAGGTGAGTAAGTGTGCAGGAGGGAAGGGAAACTGATCATCTGGCCCATCTAGCCTCCTTGTTCTACTCAACTCCAACAGAAGAAAGCAAATCCTGTTTCTATTTTCCACTCTGAACAGTTCTTGAGAATTTCCATCCAGTCAATCCATACACTTTGTGCTTGGAACCTCCCACCCTGCCATCTTTGCCATCAACTGCTGGCACATCCCAGCTTGGCACTCTCCCTACCATGGCAGTTTCTTCTTTGGGGATTATTCATATTCACAGCCTACTTTTCCTCCTGGCAATTCTTTTTCCAGATTTGTGCCTATATTAATATGTGTTTTTCTTCAGACCATGATATAAGTCTATTTTTCCATAAGCAATTATGGAAAATTAAGCAATCTTAAGGAAGCCAGCCTTAATGGTATAAACATTATGTACTCTCATTAACATCTAATTAAAAGGAATAACTAGTAAGATTATTACTACTTAAAAGGTAATAATTACTAGTGAAAAGGTAATAATAAATTAATTCAAATGTAACAGTCAATATTAAAGTAAAAGGCAAATCAAATACACCTGTGTGATCCCCAAGTTTGTGAACATCTTGTTACATGTGAAAATCAGAACCTCTGAAAACTGCATGCTCTCCAGTTCACAGTCGGGAATAACATATCTTTCTCACTAGGACACAGAAGATCTTAGTATAAATGTAAAATGTCTGCAGAGCTATCATGTCAATGTCTACAAACGGTGAGATTTTGGCTTGATCCTAAGAGCTACCAATCTCAAGCAGAGCTGAGTCTCCTCCTCTGAGCACGCTTCCAGGTATGCGGCAGACCCCTGGCAGGAGCACAGGTACACTGGGTATACTGTGGACAGAGTTGGGCTGCATGTGGTTGGATCAGATGATGATGAAAATTTCAGCCCTACGGCCTTTATTTTTGCCCTAATATCAGCACTATAATGAAATTGAGCTGAATGTTTTAAGTCAAATCACTGACTTTTTAATAGAATTCTAGGCACAGATACACTCTTCTTCACAAACAAAACCCTTATACCTCCAAAAATGGAAAGCACATGAACTCTGGAGTCAGACAACCACGGATTTAAAGCTTGGCCCTGGTACTTACTAAATGTAGCAAATTACTTCTCTCAAATTGCAGTTTCTCCAACTCACATTGTTGCTAAAGACTTTAAAATGACATACATATGGTCATTGTAACTACCTGTTTATGGTATTTCAAATACCTTAAAATTATTTTTGATTTAGTTTTTAAAGTTGACATAATAATTATACATATCTATGGGGTATATAGTGATGTTTTAATACATATGATGTATAGCGACCAGATCAGTGTATTTAGTATATGCATAATCCCCAACATTTATCATGTATTTGTGCTGGGAACATTCAATATCCTCCTTCTAGCTATTTGAAACTATATATGATTTTTAACTATAGACACCCTACAGTGGTACAGAACACCAGAACTTATTCCCTTCTTCCACCTGACTCCAAAGCTTTGACAAGATTCTGAGAAACATTTTTCCTCAAATTAGGAAATCTTATTCCTTTTATATTTAAATACGCCTACAAGGCAATAAACCACCTCTTAGGACTTACCTGTTCGACCAAGCCCTGCATGACAATGGATAGCTACTTTTCCTTCCTGTAAGGCAAATGTCATCACCTTCACCATATCTAGGATAGTAGTAAGAGATGCTACACCATAATCCTTCCACCCGAAATTGTAGAAATAAACTAAGAAAAAAGAAAAGGAAAAGAAAATCAACATACAGGAAATTAACGAAAGTATATACACTAATGAAAAGTACACAGATCTACACTGAGGCATGTAGATCTCAGTGCATACACTGCATAAAATAAGAGGGATTTTACATTCCCAGTAACTTTACTGTTCACATTTACTCACAAAGCATATTTTATATTACTGAAGACATTTCCTGCAGAAACTCAGCCAGAAAGAATTATGGTGAAGTAGAATTACAAATTAATAAAGTCAGTGATTCACGCTCTAGTTACTCAGCTATGGAGGGAAAGCATACACTCTTGTTTAAGCAGGGAAATGTGTCTTAATGACTGATAAATAGCTTAAGACAGTATATATAGGTTTTCTATCCAGTGTAAATAAGCGTCTTTAAAACAAGTTCCAAGATTGTTTATCCTTTCCAGCCTGGTTTGAAGGACACATGTTGAATGTATTTCATCCCAAAGCTCTTGTGATTGAGGTGGCTTTGAAATTGTTAGAAGTAGAATTCCTGGGCGTCATTTTGGGAGCAGGGCTGGACAGCAGTAAACCTGGAGCATGTCCAGGTTCCAAACCTGATTACCATTTCTAAGCTGTGTGATCTTAGGCAAGTAGGTAATTCTCTAAGCCCCATGTAGCTTCATGTGTAAAACAGAAATAACAACAACTTTGTTACACAACTGCTTTAAGGGTTAAATGAGATAACAGTGGCTGGCATTAATTAAATGTTAATCATTATTACTATGGGGTCTCCTCCCAACATCCCTCTTACAGGAACAAAGAAATCCTATACTTCCAACAGCAATACCAAAGAGAATGGTAGCTCATTTTTTTCTGGATCCTTACTACTATGCAGGAGGTATTTATTTTCATCACCTTTTCAATTTAAGACCCCAGCAGAGAAAAGCCTCTGAGTGCTACCCTTGATAATTCATGAGAGGAGGTGGGAGGAACTTACTGCCAGCCTCCATGAAAGCCTCAGGAAGGTATGTGAAGCCACTTTCTTGTTCCAGAGGGTTCCCACAGCTAGCATGCTCACCAGGGCGCTGGAGGTTGATTATTGTTTTTATGCCATGGCTTAAAGGAAAAAGGGCAGTCAGTCATGTTGGGAACTAGCATTTTAAAAAAAATAACCTTTTTGGCATTAATCAACATTATTAATTACCCTCAAAATCTTAATTTCTCATTTGAAATACACCCTTCACTGCCTATTGTTAAAATGAAAGCACTTTTTCACTTGAAAACAAAGGCAATGAAAGAACAAACACATGAGTTTCCTCACTCGTGTGTGAACAATACAGCATTTACCTGAGGAACTGATCAATGATGTGGTACTTCTCCAGGAGCTCAGAGGATGGGCGGGCCATGGCCAGTATATTGTCAGTGACCCTGCAAATGGGTGGAGGGACTGGTGAGATGTGCTGCAACCTAGGAGGTTCCAGCCCTGAGCGATGATTTTTTTCTATGATTTCAACAACTCTGTTAGAATATTCTTTTTTTGTGTATAAATTTTATTTGAACAGGTAATACAGTTTCATGGTTCAATAAAATCAAAACAATACACAAAAGTATGCACTAAAATGTTTGCTCTTACCTGTTTTCATCCACTCTATTCAGTTTGTTCCCCATATGTAGTCATTTGTATTAACTTCATGTTTATCATCTTAGTGTTTCTTTTTGCAAATACAAGCAAATATGAGCATTTATTCTTATTTCTCTGCTTTTTTTTTGTACAAAAGGTAGTGTAGTAAAGGCACTGTTAGATACTTTGCTTTTTTTCTCTTTAGGTTAATTTTTAAAATTTTGATAGTTTTTGGGGTACAGATGATTTCAGGTTACATAGATGAGTTCTTTAGTGGTGAATTCTGAGATTTTGGTGTACCCATGTAAGAATATTCTTATACAAATCCGGCTTCAATTTTGGCTGATTAGAGCTCTAAGAAACTCTAGCTTCTTAAATCCCTGGAAAAAATTCCAGGACATAAATTATTTGTGGATTCCAGCAAAGTATTTTCAAGGACTCTCAAGAGATTCTAGTGGACACGATGGAGAAAACCCAGCTGGTGGCGAAGGTAACAGTCTGGATTGTCACTCAATGGGTAGTGACTTATACGAGGAGGGACAACTGGGAGATATTTTTAGTTATTCAACTATCTGACTCTTAGTTACCTAAGGTGTTAAATGGGGATAATAATGCCTGTCTCACAGGGTTGGTGTGAGAATTCAGTATGATGTGGATGTAAAGCCTTTGGCACAAATCCTGACATGCAGTTATGAATAAATACTGAGTTACTGTAATTTGGCGACAATTATGGGTTCCAGAGTCAGTCGGGCTTGGTTTCAAATGCTGGCTTTTCTACTTTCTAGCTTGGTGGCAAATTACTTGGTCTCTCTGGAACTCAATTCTTTCATCGATAAAATGGCATTAACAGCTCACAAGAGTTTTACGACGATAAAAGATATTAGTATGAAAGCATCTAGCACACAGACTGGCCTACAGCCAAATGGATATTTACTGAATGAATGAGTGGGCAGACGCCCAATAAATGACTATTACTCTTGTCAGGCCTCTGGGCTCTGGCTTCACTCTGTTCTGTTCAAATTTCTCATCAGTGGCCTGATGAGATATATAAGGTAAGTGCGTTGGAAGTTGTGGGTCATATGAATCTCAGGGGAATAACACAGACTGGCAGGACAGGATCCAAAATGACACCTTTCCCTCTGAAAGAAGACATGTGGTTTAACATGGGACCCAGGTGAAAAAGACTCACAGGATTTAGTCAGCAATAAAGCAAAAATACACAAATGACCTAAGCTACATTATTAGAAATTTTCTTGTCGGACTATGAATGTTTCCTTCTTCATACTATTAGTATGATAGTGATGGACCAGAATATGACCTGTAGTGAACAATAATGACAGTGGACCCCAGACTATATCACTACAGATGTACTGAGCAAATCCAATATGAAAAAGTACAGGTTGTAAGCTGGATAAGCCACTTGACAAATATCTAATTTAAAAATGGGTTCTTCATAAATAAAATAATTCACTATTAGAATTAACAGTGAATTCTTCTAAGTATGCTTCAAATGTGATTTATCAGAATTTTTCAGATGTTACATCAAAAAGGTGTATTTGACCAGTTTACTGTTTATTAAAAAGCAGTATGATTAAAGAACAATACTAATTGCACTTACACACCATAAAAAAAGCAAATATCTTCTGTTTTCTACCGAGCTGACAACTTGTACCACTTTTATTAGGGTAGACTGAAGGGTATTTGTATGAAAATGTGACTTTTCATATAGAATATAGGAATAACATAAAAGCTAAAGCTTACTTGCATGAAACTGAAAAATTCCACATGTATCTCATAATTTTCTCAAATTTATAGCTGAACAGTTTTATTATTTCTAAACATTTCTGAAATTTAAGCGCTGACTATCCATTTCTTAATACACTTTATATATATCATTTCACTTACTTAAGAAAATCCCTATGGTTTTGGTTTTATTATTTCCACCTTACAGATAAAGAAACCAAGGGTCAATAGGCCAAGAACACACAGCTAGGGCAAAGCCAGACTTGACTGGCAAAGTGAAGTCCTGACTTCAAAGTCCCACACTGCTCCTCCCACACTTCAGGGCTCCTGGCTCACACAGAGCGTCTTTCCTGTATCCAACAGAGCCATGAAAGACCAACAGGATCACTCACCAGGATGAGTAAACCCCTTTAATGGCTTGTTCCTGCTCACTCCAGCGGGCTGGGTTCTCATACTTGCAAGCTCTACCACCACACGCCATGGAACACGCCATGTGTCCAGGAATGACATGCCGTAAACGCTCTCCTACTTTTGTGTACTTTGGTGTTGGACGTTCTATATTTCCTAGAACATGTAAGGAAAGGAAAATTCAAAATTGCACTCTCCAAATGAAATTGTAACATGGGAAACAGCCTCCGTTTTATCTCAGGATGGCAGATGACAAGCCAGTGCAAAATCGCCTTCATCTTGTCAAGAAAACAAAACTGTTTCCCCATCAAAGTGACATGTATCTCTTAATGTAAAACAGCTTTCACATATAATAATCTCCACACATACTGGCAATTAGGAGGAAGAAACTGTAAAAGCAGATGTTTTACAAGAGAATGAGTTTTGTTCAAACCTATATTTTAAATTAAAAAACACAAAACATTTGATCATTTTATATCCTCTTATATATTCACTAAAATACTTAGCATAACAGACAGCAAAAAGTATAATATAGAATAAACTGCCAATATTTAAAAAGGTATAAGCACAACACAGTCGATTCCCATTCCTCAAACTTACATACAAAGGTATGGCAATCTATAAGAAGAAAGAGACCTTTACTTTTTCTTTCGGGGAAAGTTGGGTTTCCCTCTGCATGGTTGACTGAGGAAACAGCTACCATCACCTGGAGAGAGGACGAGGACAGAAGCTTCGTGGCAGAGCCGGAGCCCAAGCCAGAGCCCCGCCGGGCCTGCTGCAGCCGCAGTATTGGGTCTGAGGTGGAGTGCCGGCGGCCCTGGAGAAAGGAGCTGAGGAAGTGCACGGCTGAGGGCCGCCTAGTTGCATCCTGCACCTGCATGGCACTGGGAGGCAAGAGCCAGAGGCAGGGAAGAGTCAGCCCCACTTACTCAGTGAGGAACTTTCACTGAGAGCAGGGAGCATTGCATCGTTCTGTATGATCTAAGAGCCATTCAGATTGGCTGACTGGTTTCCATGGCGACGAACAAAGAAACTACTGATTCCCACTTAGATCTGAACAGGCAAAATCCAATATGAACAGATTGCATTTTGGGCAAATTGTTCAAATATAGGGAAGAATAATATAAATTTTAAATATATTGATTACTAAATTTTGTTTCTCAAATGCACTTAAAATATCTAACCACTCAAAGAATTACTCCCCAAAATATTGTAGTGAATTTAGAAAACTGTCTTCATGATGCAAAAACTGTCTTTTACATACATGTTAAAAGGCTTAAATTCTGTTATTCCTTTCACAACCTGTCTCTGGATATTTTGAAAAAAATTACCTTTCTACTCCTCGTTTGAATAGTGTAGAAAAAAGTTAATTGTAATAAAGTGGGATATACTGGATGCTTTACAACATTATCAAAATATCATCCAGTTTTTCATAACCAAAACCACTTCTATTTTTTCTTGGTAAAACTATTAAAGAAATACTTGGATTTAAAAAATATATTTTTAGAGATGATATATTATCAGAAGACGTTTAACTTCAAGTGTTCATTTTCCGAATATGAAAACCCAATTCTTAGTTAAGCCTCTGTTGGACAGTTATAGTAGCCGTGCCTCTCAAAAACTCAAAACATCATTCTCTGCCTTTTGTTGCAGTGAGGGAAAAAAGAAGCTTCAATAATGTCTTGGCAGAGGCATATAAAGAAAACTCACTAAGTATCACATTTTTAAAGGAACTAGATGAGGGGGAGGTTGCAACTTGAAGATAAAGGATATAAAGAAAACAGAAAGTGCAACAACCGCTAATGTACTCATTGTCCGCCTCCTCCCTTGTTAATGTCAGGCTGCGCCCTCGCTTGCTCGCTCTCTCTCTCTACACAAATGGTATTTCAGATGTGTGTGCACAGAAACAAACTACTGTACTGCCACAGATGAGGCTATTTTCTTTTCTTTTCTTTTCTTTTAACGATTACTAATGCTATACCAAGCTCCTTTTAAAATGCCGCCCCCATCTCCCCAATAATGTGCACTTTTGTCAAATAAGACAGGGACACAGAATTCCAGTTTGGTGTTCAAATTCCTACTCTATGTGTAGTATCATGCCTTTGTTATTTAGAATACAGCCATGGAAGAAAGCACAGCTTTCCTGTCAGAGGAATTACATGAGGATTATTCTAGGCAAGGCCCTCAGGACCCTAAGGGCAACACAGAAACAGCAGTTGCACAGAGCTCTGCAAGACAGGAACATGAACTTATTGGCAGGAGGCCCTAAATGCTCAAACTAAGGAGTTGTGTATTTGTTATCTGAGTAAGAGGGAGTCTATGAATATTTCTGGGCAAGTCTGTGCTTCTGAGTATGTGGCACTCCAGAATGTTAACTTAGCTCTTGAGAGACAAGAGTGGTGAGCTTTGCAGAGATAAGTCCATGGCCTGGAGAACCAGTATCTGAGGACATCTACAGAGAAGAGTTAAAATAACTGCTTTCAACTACACTAAAAATGAACACTAATTTCATTAGATAAGGGGTAGGGGTAGGACTTATTTAGACCAAGCTAAGGAAGGGATGGTTTATAGATCACCTCAAGAATAATCTCTGTGGTGAAATCTTGAGACCTGGGTTGACCTCAAGTAAACGCAAAATGACTGAGCTGACCCCAGTTACTGTACAGTCAGTGACCCTGTGTCAATGTCTAAGGAAGTCAAGCCTAATGCAAACAGGATTCTGCAAGGTGAAAGCAGCCCTTTCTGCATGATTGCTCAGTGTTCCCAATAATGAGGTGTTGTGAATATACCTTGCATTGATGTGGTAGATGAAGAGAAATGTACCTACCTCCGGACACGAGAACCAAACTTAGAACAATATTTAAGGAACCAAATGAGATACTGATCATGACAAATATGAAATCAGTCACAATAAACACAACAAAGAAACCTACTAAAATGTACCAGTGAGTACTGAGTCTTTTCTTCCTTAATTTCTACAAGTGGGCAGGTAAAACACTGAAAAGTGAGATCTAGAACACCAAGAACTGGTAATTTCCTTCTATACTCAAGATTTCAGAAAGGGCTCATTACTTCCTAAAGTCATAGAACAATAGGCTGAGAATGCAGTGGGTGCCTGGTGGGTGTGGGAGGCCCACCTATCCGCATTCTTAAGTCCACAGAGGAGTCACTTCCAGGAATTTGCTGTACAGCTGAATTTCCAGCCTTGTGTTCTCCACTTTTTGTGACAAGAGGCTCACTTTTCACAAGGGAACTGACTATTCCACTGTTAGACAGCTCAAATATTTTCTTTCTTTCCGTCTTTAGAGATGGGGATCTCACTTTGTTGTCTAGGCTGGACTTAAACTTTGGGGCTCAGGGGCTCCTCCTGCCTCAGCCTCTTGAGTAGCTGGGACTACAGATGCCTGCCACCACACTGGACTTCAAATGTTCTCTAGTGTTGAGTTAAAATCCATTCTATAAACATTGGTTCTGGTTCTTCCCACTAAAAATAAAGAATAAAGCATCCCTTTGTCTTGAAAGATTTTCAAATATTCAAAGACAGAACTTTTCAAATATCCGAAGACAGAACTTATCCAAGACTTTCCCTATTTCTGTTTTTCAAACATTCCCAGGTATATGTAATTGTTTCCAGATCTTTCACTATAATTTCCCTTCTTCTGCGGGCCCTTCTTCTCTCCCCTTCATAGCTAAACCTCCAAACCAAGGTGACTACACCTGCCATCTCCACGTGTCACAAGTTTCATCCTCAGCCTACTCAGCTCTAGTCTCTGCCTCCACTCTCAAATCAAACTGCTCTTGCTATGGTCTCTGATGTTCTATCTTAAGGTGGATTCTTTAGAGCTTCTATTTGACTGTGCAGCAGCATACAACACAATTGAACACTTTAGTTTTAATAAAAAAATTTTTTTAAGACAGCACCTTGCTCTGTCACACAGGCTAGTGAGCAGTGACATGATCATAGCTCACTGCAGCCTTGAATTCCTGGGCTCAAACAATCCTCCTGCCTCAGCCTCTTTGGTAGTCAGTAAGACAGGTGCCTGCCACCATGCCTGGCCCATATATTTTTTAGAGTATTTTATTTTTTTACTTTGAATCAATGCCAAACTTACAGAAAAGGTACAAAAGAGCACAAATAATATTTTTCCTTGGCTGGGCATGGTGGCTCATGCCTGTAATCCCAGCACTTTGGGAGGCTGAGGAGGGCAGATCACCTGAGGTCAGGAGTTAGAGACCCACCTGGCCAACATGGTGAAACCCAGCCTCTACTACAAATACAAAAATGAGCTAGGTGTGGTGGCGTGTGCCTGTAGTCCCAGCTACTTGGGAGGCTGAGGCAGGAGAATTGCTTGCACCCAGAAGGCAGAGGTTGCAGTGAGCTGAGATTGCACCACTGCATTCTAGTCTGGGCAACAGAGTGAGACTGTCTCAAAAAAAAAAAAAAAGAAAGAATATTTTTCCTTGAATTTTTTAGAATAACTTGCAGAAATACTGCCCCATTATGCCAAATAATTTAGTGTATATTTCCCACAAAGATATTCTTGAAAATTACCCCAAATCAGAAAATTATGGTTGAGATATTACTACTTGCCCTATGTTCCTCAGCCCTCAGCTTCACTGATTACTCCAAAAATGTTCCTTACAGTAAAAGGACATGTTGTATGTAGTTGTCCTGTTTCTTTCACCTATTTCACACTAGAACAAGTTCCTCAGTCTTTCCTCGACTTTGATGACCTTGACACTTTCGAAGAGTATAGGCCAGTTACTTTGTAGCAGTCTCTCTCAATTTGGGCAAGCTGTTTCTTCGGGATTAGACTCAGAAGCCCTTGCATTTATTAGTAAAGAATGATATCTAGAAATCGATGGCTGTGTGTTAGGTATGCTCATTGCCATTAGTGTTACTGCTGCCAGGCCCTCTCAGTGGACAGAGCTAAAGCATATGGATATTATGCACAAGCACACACATTACCACACTTTACATCTCTATTTACTTCCGTATGTAGGCATATATACATATGGAAAAACCAAGAGTTTACCCTGATACTACCAATTCCAAGCCAACACCACAAAGTTCCTCCAATTTCCACCCTTTCCACAACTGTACCTATAATTATAACTCTGTGAGAAGCCTGGGTACCATAATCTTTAATATATTT